GTCCGAGACTCCAGAAACTTTAATGACTCTATGAAATCATGAGCTTTGAGGCAGCCCCTCTCCTTTAATCCCTATCTATGAAGTCGTGAACTGAAACAATGATGCCCTGATGGGACCCTCAGGCGCTAACGAATCCGACTTTAACTGACGCTTAATATAATTCTCTTAAGAAGGCTATTTCCAATCGTGACATCACTTTAAAGTTGGAAATACGCAAAGAATACAATCAACAGCCGCTTTCAGAGCAGGAGGCTGCGTGGCAATCACACGATCGACCCCAGTGTGTGGAACAGGAACCGGTAATCGTCCACGGGAGCAGTACAACGAAAACACCGCATTCATCGATGGCAGCTCTGTAGGTTACACTTCGAAATCGCGTCTGGTACAAGGTGACAATATCCATGTTCAGGTGTATTCCTCAGAAGCAGTAACACTGAGAAGTCTGAGAGCAGGAGCTATGCTAAAAACTCACGTTCGTATCACTTCAGTATTGATTTCAGTACAATCCCGAGAAAAGAAAAGAAACGCTGATTTCAGTTGGTGAATGGACGCACCTTTCCTCCAAACAACCGACGAGATTCGATGACTGTCGGAGATGATCGAGCCACGATTTTCCTCGGTCTTGCAGCCATGCACACAACTTTCCTTCGCTTGCATAACAGGTTACTATCGGACACACCCTCGAACAACCTTCAGTTGCAGTAGTAGCCGTGAAGGAATCAAACCTTAATCGGATCTTTAGACAACTTGAACCCGTGGACCCTTTTACCCCTTCTCTCACAACATTGGGAACTTCCCACCAGTGGTATAACGCAATAACCAACGCACCAACAGGGAACGTCCAATGTGGTCAGAGATCCAACCTACGCCCGGATGAGCGAATGAACCACGTGTTCAAGATATGGCAACCATTATGACACCCCTCCCAATCCCCTCTCTCCCACAGCTGAGGTCGCGACCACAATGCCCACTGCACTACGCCATCCGACCGCTCCTATGTCCCTTGACAGCCCCTATTAAATCCTTAGAGTACGAGCTCTATCTAAACCCTCGAAAAGTCCTTTAAACGTGGGGGAAGGTATGTACAAGTGGGTAAATAAGAAATGCTAAAATTCCCATCATAATTTTGGGTAATATGTAAAAAAAATGTGAACATTCCCTAAGAAATCCTAGCATTTCCTCTCCACCTCTTCCATAAATGCGCTGTCAAATCTAGCAAATACGACCCCTAATCCTTTTCTCTCCCCCTCGCGAAAAAATTCTAGACGACGGCTTTTTCTGACCCATGCCTGACGTTATCTGTTGTACCCAAAAAATTTTCCGTCCAAAACAGTTTTCCAATCAGGGCCAACCGTGCTTTAGCACTATTCGAACGAGGGGGTCGCATTTTTGATTTTGGGAAGGGGAGGGGGTCGCATTCAGGGGTTGAGTGGGATGAATGGAATTAGTGATTAGAGGGGATGGTGAGACGATTAGATTGCTTTTGTTAAGGATGGAAGTGGCATTGGAGGAGTGTGAGGTAGGATGGGTGGAAGTACAGAAAATTTGCCGCTTTTCATTGCACTAATAACCCCCCACCGCTTGACGGTCGTTCGAGGAAGTGGGCGGGGTTGGGCTGTCTATAGAAACAACCATGACGGTGAGGTTGATGGTCGTACTGGGGGAGCGTCCTGAGTCTGATGGAGGGGGTCGCATGGAGATCCTCCTAAAGGGGGAGGGGGTATTTTTTCGCGAAATTTCGGAAAGAGTACGAACGTCACGGTTGGCCCTGCTTCCAATGAAAGATGGACTAATGATAAGGCATATCCAGTTTGAACAGAACAACTTTAGCGTTGCTGCCTCACTTCAAAACATGAATCGTCATTGGAACCAAGACCGTGTCTTCCAAGAAACCAGGAAGATTGTTGGTTCCGTGATACAGGTGAGTTTTGAAAAGTATTAAATTGCTTCGAGGAAGACTCCCTTTCAACAAACTACAACTTATTATTCAGGTCATTACCTGCACCAAGAGTTTCTTCCACGCTGATACGTCCAATTCCATGTCTCGACTCGTGACCGCCGTATGGCAGTGAGATTTTGAACATGTGTTCTCACACTTCATCGTTAAAAAATCCCAACGCTTCACAAGTTAGAGTTTCACAAGAACCAGCTGGCCGTGAACAAAAAACTTCCGCCCCAGACGGGACACGAACTAGTGTTGAGATGGTGGGCCGATATCGGCCATGACCGCGAGACTGAAAGCTTTAGCAGCGGATTTTTACTTCAATTTTGACAAACAAAGACAAGTAAAAGTCTCGCTTTCCAGCGTTAGATCTTTCAGTGTTGACTGATTCGTTTGGCTCGCGCTGCGCCCTCAATGAATGCACAATGTGTCGAAAAACTTTGCAAGAATATTTACGATCACACAAAGCATGGCGAGTGGGCTCGTAATTGTTCATAATGTTAGTTGTAAGTATGATACCAGAGAATAATCGACTAGCCTATCTTTTAAGTGGGTTTTACGGATGGATGAATTGAGTGATACAGATGTCAAACAATCGGCCCATTTACGGATAGAAGGGGCACAATAAGTAAGCCTTCGATATGGCACTTGTAGTCTTTTGAGACAGTCCTCGCTCTGGTAATTTTCTGAAAAAATCGATCCACACTACCACCATAACCTTTGAAGAAGACAACCCCGGCCAACGCTTCTCCTCCCCAGCCCATAAATACCACTTTGAACCACCAATGACTGGTTTCTGGATGCTGAGACGCGAAATCCAAACATTCGAACTCCAGGCCCATTGCCCTCCAAAAGTGCATCCATGGGTGGAGGAAGGGTAAATATGGCCGTCTTGAGCATCTCTGAAGGGGCCAGTGTTCTAAATTTCTTCTCTTTCGCCCTTTTTCCAGGAGTACTTCTTTCCGAAAATCGTCCATTCTAAAACGACCCTCTTTGACTTTCGCAAGTACGACCTGTTCAGTTTGCCCAAACGCGACTCCACCTTCGTACTTAGTGACCTTCGCCAACCCCGAACACGATCCCTTAACAAAACCCGCAAGTACTATCCCCCGTTGGTGCATCACCCAACAGACGGTGCACCCTACCTATAGCTCATCGCGTATTTTTCCCCCGAAGGTAGCGGCTGCTATCACATTTGCCTTGCAGTTAAGAAATCGAATGAATGTTCACCTTCCGATCGTAGTTGGAATTATGTCGGATCAGTATTTAATAAAATTACTTTGCGTACGAAATATTCTGTTGGCCAAACTCACGAGTGCTATTGCACTCAGTACTCACTAGCAAAGATTCGATAGTCTTCGGTGCCCCCGCAAAGTGCTCTTTTGAATTCCTCCTAACCTCATCTGTTCAGATACAACCCTTCAGTTAATCCTGGTGTGCTCAACGAGTTCGCATCCGCTGCTTATCGTCTTCATGGAATGATTCAGGTAGGATTCAGGTATAATATACTCCGATCGTATGCAACCCCCGTCAGCTTAGCACATTAATATTATATTTAGTGTTATTATAATAATTGCAGGAGTCCTACCCACTCATTGGCCCCAACATGGAAGTCAGAGGACGTGTTCCGTTCCTAGACGGTGTTGGACGAATTGAGCGAGTATTGTCGGCGATCGATGCAGTGTACCGGTAAATAGTAGCGTCAAAAAAGACTACTGTCTTTCCCGCTGCAATTTAATACGGTACCCATTCAGAGGCTTCATCGCCACCCCAGCTCGCAGTCCTCAGCGAATCACAAGTTCTGTTACGGAGCGCTTGTTTGGAGGATCGGACATGGCCACAATTAATATCCAGGTTAGGAAAATGTTTGGCACTATTTACCCTTTACTGCCCCCATCCCTTCTCCGAATTTGAGCCGGAATTTTGTTCACGACTTACTACTTAGCAAAAACAAGAAATAGAAAGTCTTTTTATATAGCCACACGTATACAATGAGTGTACAATCGTTTAGCGGCGAAAGCTTGGCGCTCTGAGCCACAGTCGGCGCCAAAGCGCCGAACAACACATAGTCACAAAAATTATGTTGGAAGATTGTATTCAGTAGGTAGGTCAGACCCGTAGAACATGAATATCACATTAGTTTGTTACGAGTGAGCCTGTAGCCTGTGATATCACATCAATTTGGCACCGGCATCCGTAGCACAGGCTTGATTCTTGAGGTGGGGCAGTAAAGGGTGAACGGTGCCAAATGTTTATTGAAGGTATCTTGTAGCATTCAATACTTCATGGTTTGGAAGCATAATAAATAGGAACTATATTGCGTTCAGAAAGTGAAACCAATTGTGGAGACCGATCCACCAGCATTGGAAGAAAGCAAAAAATGCTGTAAAAACCCTTAAAGGAATCCTTCGCGGAAAATTCTTGCATTCTTTCTTAACATGAATGTGTCAGTTGTGATCACTGGAAACAGCACACAAAGTTTCACGCATGAAGATTCGGTTTCCGAAGAGAAACAAACGTACAAAAACTACACTCTATGGACAATCGAAGGTAATTCGGGCGGAGCCAAAGGCGGCATGGAAAGAAGTTGGCCTTGGCCGGCTACGTATCAGGCGACGCAATGAAAGAATCGGGTTAAAGCGCGCGATTTCGAGAGAGACAAATCGATCGATAGAATAGGATGGAGTAGAAGTGTAAGATGTGAATGCAATAAGCAGAAGGCCAGAAAGAGTTTCTAGTGAAGGCACTCCAAGAACCAAGTGGAAGCATCCCCGTCGCCAGCATTTGTGAAAGACGTCCGTGGGCACTTTGAACGCGTAGCAGCCCTTTCGATTTTTCGAATTTTTTACCAAAACAAAAGCAATATTTCTGTTCTTTTCATTCTTATGAGTCTCAAGCCAGTGAATTATGGCTGAAATAGAATCATGATTATTCCGTGAGGGAATCCTTGAATATGGAATGCGCTGAGAGTAGCGATAATCAGCCCCACATTTTCACCGGACACTATGACAAAAGGTAAGAAATAACCAGTAGCGATTCCGTAGGGGCGGGGCGCAAACCACGCCTCTGTACAAACTGCCCTACTCAACATGGTTTTGAGGAATCTTATCAATTTTTGCTTTCTTTCATTGGAAACAGTTGTCACAACTACGTTCATTATTGAGCGTAATAACCCACAATTGCCCAATTTCAACCATCAAAAAGGCTGGAGGAATAGTGAGGAACAATCACAAAAGCACACCATCTTGCTGCTTATTTAGGCTCAGCTCGCGTTTACTTTCAGAGAGGACGTGACCACGGTTTCCCTTCATACAACGAGTATCGCAAGTTGTGTCAACTGCGACCAGTCACTAGTTTCAATGAGGTTTGCCTCGCTTGTAAGATTTCTGCTTTCCTCTACCATTTGTGATTTCTCTACCTTTCAGTGGCCAGAAGTGACAGAGAAAGCTGTTCGGGAACGAGTCGCACAGCTCTACAGAACACCTGATGAGGTTAGCCAAATAAAGAAGATACCTGCACAAAAGTCTTACCCAGCGCTCTTTCCCTGCATTACACAATATCCATTAATGAAGCAGGCATTGTTACTACTGAGACCTTTGTAATTCCAGCTCGATCTCTACGTTGGAGGAATTCTTGAGGAACCAATCGAAGGCAGCCTTGTTGGGCCGACCTTCGCTTGCATTATTGCAGAGCAGTTCGTACGACTTCGAGACGGAGACAGGTGAAACCTTCGGAAAACAGTCTTGCCCGACACACATAGTCGGGGCAAAGCTTGCGTTGTACTGCACGTGCAACGGGTACCGCGCATACTACAGGGATTTCGCGTCAAGTTAAATAGAATTTCCCATTGCACGTCCTACACGCACATCACGCGCTGCGACTCGT